ATATTTATATATATATATATATATATATACACACATACAGTATATGCATCCAGATTGTCTTTGTATTTGCATTGTATTTGCATCAAATACAATGTACTATGTGATATTTATTATTCGAGATCTGCAGCAACAGGCTTGGGTGAGCGACTTGTGGACAGCTTGTCCTTATCCTTGTACATAAAATCATCCACATACCAACAAACCAATGATTCGTTCGGCAAATAAATAATTTACGGACAGTTACAACTGCTTAAGCTTTTGTAACGAATCAGCTCATGAGGAAATATGAATAATTAATCATAACTAGTTATTTTTTTCCTTATGGGCAAGGAATCGATTTTCTTCACCTAAATTCCAGGAGGTCGTAAATGTATCGGGTGTCAGAGTTGCCATGGAACCAGGGGCCTGTTCGGCTTCCTGGGGTGTTACAGAGTATTTGTTAAATCTAGCTAACAAAATACAAACAACAAAATTGTGTGTTTGAGTGGTCCAGACGCTACACTTTATACCTGAAATGAAAAGTGAATATTTTGTAACGATAATATTAGCCAGTCTGCAAACTCATTCTCTCAAATGGCTTGTGTATGAAGAGCCCCTGTTGTGTTATATTATAAACTGTTTATTAACTATTTCATGAAGTATGTGACCCCTGTTGAAGTTGTTATTTCTGCATCAGGACCATGCCCATCCCCCTGTCAAAGAAAGTGTATATAAATTGACGCATACTTTTTTTTTTTTGCATGGTCAACTGTGTATAATGACATTGGTAAAACAATGTTAACATAGTTTGTGAGGACCCTTCCTGTGTCCTTATAAACCAACTGGCTTTAAAACACACTAAATGGTCTGTTTATTTGTTTAAATAAAAAAAAAAAGCCTAAATGTTTCTGTGAGGGTTATGTTTTTGTGATGGGGTAGGGTTATGGGATAGAAAAATATGATTGGCTCAGTAATAAAAACTACGCCTATGGAGAGTCCCCGTAATATGTGTGTGTGACTTTAATAATTGTATTGTGTGGTAACTGTTGTATACAAGCAATAGGGAACTCGAAGATGTGCTGTATTGTGAATGTACTCCGCTTTGCATCAGGCCTAACAAACACTTTTCAGCTGCGACTGTATTCACAGCATGGCCTCTCGTACCTTACTTTACGTGAAATCAAATGTTATAATTAATAAATTGAATAAAATTACAACATATAAACACATAACAGCTTGACAACCTGACATTTAAAAATAATTAAGTCTAATTTAAGGACAGACACATTTTTTAATCTTATTAAAATAAATCTTATGACACTTGTCTGAATATATATTATTGTGATTTTATTGTGTTGACCTGTTACCCAACAGTTATTACAAATATGATGTTAAGATTTAGATAACACTTTAGTATAGGGGCCAATTCTCACTATTAACTAGTTAACTAGCTTATTAGCATGCCTATTATTAACATATTGGCTGTTTATTAGTACTTATAAAGCACATATTCTGCATGACCATATTCTACATCCCTAATCCTACCCAATACTAAATCAACAATTACCTTACTAACTATTAATAAGCAGCAAATTAGGAATTTATTGAGACAGACGTCATTGTTAATGGTTTGTTAATAGTAAGAACTGGACCTTAAAATAAAATGTGACCAAAATTTAGTTTGGATGATCAAAGGTATTGATCAACAAGTTTGATTTCAAGGAGTTTGAAACCAGCATACAAAACCACTGCTGGAGAAAACAAACATTTGTGTCTTTATTTACTGGGATATAGTCTTCATGACATCTTCTCCGTCAGACAACTAGCCCTGTTCTCTTCCATATAATAGTGCTTCTTGGTGTGTGTACTTACGATATGGTTTCTTTTTTTCTGGCACTTTTAACGAGGATTTTTGTTGTAACAGCTGACATTGTGTCAAAGGCTTACAATAAAAGCTAGAAGGATTTAACAGCAGATTCTCTGCATGCACCTCGTACTTCTTACGCTGCATGCCTGGAAAGCCAGGCTACTTGAGGGATCCATTTGTGATGTGTTGACACTTGTATTGAAAATGTCAAAACAGGTGTGCTGTAGCTGTAGCTGATGTGTTGTAGCTGCGTTTCACACAATTTCAGTCAAGCCATGAACCTTCCATCATAGCGACACAATACTCTAAACACAACAACAGCTGCCACAGAAAATATCAACTTTTGGCCCATATATACAGAGTTCTGGCATGAAACTCTAGATGGCGAAGTCCGATAGGTCTAACTCAATCTGACCTAATGGCATCATTATCACATGGCACAGCTGATTGGTTCTCTCCTGTATCGGTAGCCAATGAGCTCGCTGCTCAACATTCAAATATATGACTAGTGCTTGCTGTAGCAGTTGCAGTTTACTTCAGAAACCCTCCACATTCCCCAGCTCCACCTGTATAGATCTGCTACGAGGTGATTCATGTATGCTGTATGGGGGTTATTTCATGCATGTTATATTTGCAGCAGCAATATTTCTTACATGCTCACAGCAGCATGATGTGGATGTATTGGTAGTAGCAAGTCTCGGTACTTGCTCTGCAGCAGCAACAGCGTAGCAGATCTATTCCGCCAAGACCAAGTACATTAACATTGTCATGTACATTACCATGCCAATCCCTCCGAGAGTTGTCATGACAGAAGTGGATTTACGGCTGGGCACTATGATGGTATGAATGGTGTGATGGCAGAAATATGTCAAGATGGTAGAGATCTTGCTATATTATTTATGCCGCAGAAGATGTATTTGGATGGCTATAAGTTATTTTTTTTCTTAATCAAATGTGAGAGCGAACTGCAGAAAGCATTGTAAAGTACATTAGCACAAATCAGACTGTACTTATATCCCTCACAGCCTCATTTTCATTTGTAATTAAATATGCTGTCTACTGAAGCAAAACACATTGTTTACATCCCCTTTTCATGGATGTGCTAATGGAGTTTAATTCTGTTTTCTGTTAATGGAACAGAACAGTACTTACGCAGACACTGAGGGATTTCACCACGCCATGTGCCGTTCCCTTCACATGTGGCTATTCCAGGAGAGGACAACTGGTATCCTTCAAAGCAGCTGTAGGTAACACTAGAGCCCCACTGCAGGTCTGAGCCCTCCACTCGCCCATTGTGAATAGCTGGCGGCTGACCACACATTATGACTGAAAAACACCACCACAACAGTATTCAGTATTTAAGAATTGTCTCTCTTTTCATTTTCATGAGGTGGAATTGGAATTGACCAATGCTCACTGGATGGAATCCTGGGCCCGATTGCATGAAATCCTTAAGTAATTTGATTTAGGAGTATTCCTGAGGGGGGAAAAAATCCCTGAAGTAAGGGATTTCTTTAGGAGCGTTGCAACAAACGTCTTAATTGTCACCCTTACCTAAGTGTTTATACTAAGCGTTTCACAGTAATTTCTGGCAACATACGGCAATGGGCACCGCGGTTACTATGGTTACTACATCTCACAATAAACAGATATGTATACATATCTATGACAATAAACAGAACATAATGAAATACAAACCTAACCAACTAAAACTGAGACAAACATTAAATAAACATGAGCGTTGCCCGTTTCTGCGCTGCTTTGTGTACAGTCGTTACCGAGGAAACCACTTTGTTTCTGCAGTGAAAGCGCCTCCTGCTGACCAATGACGGAAAATTTAGCAAATGTGAAAATTAACCCATGTTTTGACGCTGCAAACACGCAGAGTTGTAAATGTGAACAGGTGGGCCGACAAGATAATGCATTATAAAAATCTAAACAATGAAGACAAATGACATTTATATTGTTATTTAATTAATGTAATCATTGATTAATAATTATAGTTTAAATTGATATCTTAATTGATACAACTCGCCCATTTACTTAAAAAAATTATATAAAACTTTTTGTTTTGTGAAAACCTGTAAGTCATGCCTTTTACAGTCATTTTACAGTTTAATATGTCACAATAGTCACTGCCCTACTGCGCTCATATGATATTTTATTTGTGCAGGTCTTAAAAAAAATTCTTAAGTCTTACATTTGAGTTTAAAAATCCTGCAGATACTGAGTTTAAGATGACTTAAGGGAGCTCTTTTGGTCCCTTAAATTTATTAAGGTGAAATGGTTACTAGCAACACTTAAGGGAACACTTAAATAATTAAGGGGAATACTCAATGGCAACCTTAAGGTTCCTTTAGTTGACCCTTGGGTGTTTTTCTTGCAACCCAAGTTTCACTAAGGGCTCCCTTAACCTTATAACTAAGGGATTTCTTAGCATAAGGGCTATCATACATCCGGGCCCTGGAATTTTGTATATTACAGCATTGCAATTTAAAGAAATTTAACACACTCACATTGCAAAAGATTTTCATTAGTCCAAGTTTTGTGAGAAAACATATAATTAAATTAATAATTTGACTAATTGTCTCAAAATTTACTCCGTGATACTGTGTAGAAAACTAATTGCACATATTTCTCAATACCATCAAAAAAAGAAACAACATAGAAACAGATTTTAAGGTAAAAGAATTGCATTCGTATAACATTTAAAAAATTGTCAGTCCCGTGTCATGCGTTTTCCTCCCCATGTTCAGTTTATGCCCATATTTGGTCCTTCCTGTTCCCATTATGTTCCCCGATTAGTTCATCATTTGTTTCCAGCTGTTTTGTTAATTATCTTAATTTGCTCCAGTTTTTAAAGTGTAGTCTGCCCTGTCTTCCTTTGTCCGGTATTGTTTATGTCAACCTCCTCTGCTACGTGTGTTTTCCCGGTTCCCTTGATGTTATAAAAGTATCCTTGTTGATGTACTCCACGTCTCTTTGTTCCTCGCTCTGCGTTCCCTCACAGTAGCGATCGTGACAAAAATAAGATAACACTTTATTTTAGGGTCTCTTAACAAGTTGCTTATTAGCATGCATATTACTAGAATATTAGTCATTTATTAGTACTAATTAAGCACATATTAATGCATTATTCTAAATGACCTTATTCTACATCCCTAATCCTACCCAATACCTAAACTTAAAAACTACCTAACTAACTATTAATAAGCAGCAAATTAGGAATTTATTGAGGGAAATGTCATAGTTAATAGTGAATAAGTGTTCCCTATTCTAAAGTGTTACCAAAAAGAAATACCAACATCAAAATTTGGCATAAATTAAAGCATTATGGAAATGTACTGCCCCCACTGGCAATTGATGCTTAACACCAATTTTATTTTATTTTTTTGGCAACAACTAAATGTTACAATAAAATCTATAAGAATGCATTAAGGGAATATTTTATTTTACTGCAACTGAACACCAGGTCTCGTACATTTTGCACTGTTATTGATCACCTTGTTGCTTTCATGAATGGTACTGAGGTGTAACAAATAAATTTTTTTGAAGTTTCACATAATCTCCAAATTAATGATTTCATAAATGTTGCATGCCTAATTATTATACTATTTTACTACTTTTACTATTATACTATTTTTAAACATTGGTTATCAATACAAAAGTATTGTTTCTGTAAATACCACATGTAGCATTAAAACCTACACTTACAGCAGTGATTTAGAATTTTATTTTGACTGTCCTACATTCAAATTCAAATTCCATTTTCTGTTTGCTACCTCAGTTCAAACTAAAGGAATGGGAACTGAAATGCATTTTAAAGGCATTCTGAACAGCCGACAACCCTGATTTCATCACCATCATTATTATTGACGGAAGATGTGTCCAAACCCAGCACCTCCTTCTTTCACTTGTTCAGACGTGGAAAAGGAAGATCTGAAAGAATAGTATGCTAAACAAGGGGCTTAGAGTTATTTATTTTCTTTCCTTGAGCATTACGTTCCATTTGCTAACGGGAGGAAGTGTATTGCTTGTGGGAGGAAACGATGATTAAATGGGATTACATACTAAAATCACTCTGAATATCAAACATCCATCGCATATCTTCCTGCGTCCGAAAACATATATCTGATATTTTCTAGAACTGATCGTGAGGAGGCTGAGCTGTCTGCATTGCACCACTTGCTAATTTCATTCTGACATCTGATAACATAGATCCTACACATTTCATGGCAACATCTCCTTGGAGTTCATAAGTGAATAATCTCACTTGCCAGGCAAGTAAAAAAAAAAAAAGAGATCAAAAACATCTGAAAGGCTTTTGATGTTGGGAACAACTCCACAATATAAGTACATATTTTAAAAGCTCTCATGATGCTGTTTGCAGAGTGACAGGAGATGCTGCCCTCTCTGCCTGTACAGAGAGAATCGTGTACGTTTGGAAGTTACCTCTGCAGCTTGGTTTGGTCTGATTCCAAGTGCCATCTTTGCTGCAGCGTAGAGTAGATGAACCAGGGGGCTCCATTACATACCCAGGGTTACAGCAATAGTGGACGGTTTTGTTAAATATGAACTCATTTCCAATGTAAATTCCGTTGGCAATTGGACCAGGATTCCCACAGCTAATAACTGCAAAGAGAGAGGACAAGCTAGACTCAAACGTTTTTGAACATTCTTTAATAATTCATAGAGATTGCACTTGGAAATATCATAATAAGAATAATTATTATTATTTCTGTTCTCATCAATCTGCACTCCATACAACTTAATATGAATTTTCAGCTGTTAGTCCTTATACTGTATAGACAGACGCGTGTATGAGTTGTAGATGGATGTGGAAAATACATATATAAATAAAATAATATTATATAATAAATCATAAAATGTGAAAACAGGGATCTGAATACTTTCTGAATGCACCGTATATTTAAAATATTGTGTCTTTTGGGCTACATTTGGGTTCACATTATTTTCACATTAAAGAGTTTGGACCAAAAATGCTTAAAATGTGCATTTATTTAATGTACTTTATTTAAAAATTGTCATTAAAATGTATTATCAGAACAACAATTTGAGTTAAAATTAACAGTCTTAGGGGTTGGTTCTGTCCACCTTTTGCTTTAATAACAGCACCCCATGTTTTTTTTTTTTTAAACCTAATGAGTTTAGAGTATGATTTGAGAATGTTCCTAAGACCAATTTGTTCTTCAGTGGAATCAAAACATCTGACCTTTCATAGAAAAAAAAAAGAATTAAAGGAATAGTTGTCATAGGAATACCCTCATGTCGTTCCAAACCCCTAAGATCTTTGTTCATCTTTGGAACACAAATTAAGATATTTTGATTAAATCCGAGAGCTCTCTGACCCTCCATAGACAGCAAGGGAACTACCACAGACAGGGCACAGAAACATAGTAAGATCATCGATAAAATGGTCCATGTAACATCAGTGGCTCAACCGTAATTTTACAAAGCTACGAGAATACTTTTTGTGCGCAAAGAAATCAAAAATAATGACTTTATTCAACAATTCGTCTCCTCCGAGTTACCATCTACCGCCATTATCGAGAGAAACACAACGCATGCGCGTGATGCTGCTGCGCCTTGTTTACGAGCAGAGGAAAGCACGCGTTGTGTTACTTGGACATGGACCATTTTGTTGATGTTTCTGGGCCTTGAACATGGTATTTCCCTTGCTGTCTATGGAGGGTCGGAAAGCTCTCGGATTTCATCAAAAATATCTTAATTTGTGTTCCGAAGATGAACGAAGGTCTTATGGATTTGGAACGACATGAGGGTGAATAATTATTGACACAATTTTCATTTTTGGGTGAACCTAGATTTATTGACCTAGAAATAGTGCAGAATCTAACTAATATGTTAACTTGTCTTTGGCTAAAACAATCTTCTACATCCCAGATTTTCAATGTGGTATCAGATTTTGGACACCACTCTATATTTCCCCATTACAGGCTACTACACAAAACCTATATCACACAACTAAAACTGCTGAACTTTATGGAGAGATGACGATTCCTCCTGTTGTCTCCCCTTTTTTTGAACAAAATAAGAATAACTTTTGTTGACACATCCAATCGGTGTTAACAGTGGTGGATCACGTGACTTGTGACACAACTCATCAGCTATCAGTGCAACTCCTGAAGCACACAGGGTACATTACATAAGCAATGCCTGTGTAATTACAAAAGCAGGGTAAAAACATTTTGCGGTAATCAAAAAGAGTAAAGGTTGCTGTTCTGACCGATGCAATCTGGTGCTGAGCCGGTCCAGGTGCCATTGGTGGTGCAATGGCGAGTGGTGAGACCCGAGGTCTTGTACCCCTCCCAGCAGGCGTATGTCACCGAGCTAGGAAACAGCATACCATCGCTGAAAACGATCCTGGCGTAGGCCGGTGTTCCAGGATTTCCACAGGATACAGCTGGGACGGCAATCAAAGACCAGAAGAAGTTAAAGAGAGAATGTGAGGAGTAAAAGACTGCAGCCCTGCGGGACTGAAAACAGCAATCGTAAGACAAGAGCTTCTGTGAAACATATCTAAGGGCTAGCACCACAAGCAAAACACTTGAAACTACACCACAAGCGCAGTGTTTTACAGCCTGCAGAGTGTTGTTGGCAAGGTAGATGAACTTCCATTTCCAATTAGTTGGAGCGTTTAACACGTTTTTTTTTATTCTCATACTTTGAAGTGTCATTTTCAGATAAGGGCAGTAAAGATGATACGCTCCAATGCGGTTAATTTGCGTTTGAATTCTAATAGCACAGAGATGCATGGCAGCCTTAAATTGGTTGGGTGTCCATATGACAGTGCTATTCTAAATTATGACGACTCGCGTGCAACAGTCAATAATATTTAAATTATAAATTTTGACTGATATTGTAGAAACAAAGAACATGGAATTTTATGCATCAAAGTCATTTTCTATTGTGAAATAATTTCAATAGAATCTTGTGAATAAACAGCACAGGAAACTGGGTGTTGAGCTGTATCGATCATCATGATACAGATTCCTTTATTTTGCAGCCTAAAGTGTTGCTAGCAAGGTAGATCAAATTAGTTCCAACTTGAATTAGTTTTTTGTTAGTATTTTCAAATAGCAATAATTAGAGTTCAGATTTATTAGAATTCAAATAGATGTTACCTGTTGATGCACGGTAACAACCTGAAATTGGTCAGGTGTCCATATGATGCAGCTTTCAATAACGCTTTCTAAATTATAATGAACAATGTGCAACAGAAAATTATATTTAAAATACTTGTTTTCATTTCTATTGACGAAACAATAATTTAAAGGTGTTTTTATGCTCCAAGAGCATATTGAAGATCAACTGGTTGTTGCTTAAGTTATAGTTAAGAAATCATTATGAAACTTCTAATTATGTTTGGAGTAGTATCATCCATTAATCAGCAGAACTGTTGTTGAAATAGCTGGTCACATGGAGGACTCACTTAATCTTTATTATCATCAAGATTTGTAGCTGTAATTTGCCCCTCATATCCTTTCAGATTAAATAATAAAACTTAAGTAAATAAAGAAAAACTGGACCGATTAAGAGTTAATGGGATCCTAGTGGAGGGCTGCTGTAAACAGATATACTTCCAAACTTTAAGTCATTATTTGTAAGTAGCAACAGGCTTGTGTTTTATGTCTGGTATCTGGAAAGTATTGTCTGTATCCTCACAAGGTACTAAAGCCCACCGTGGAGTTACCCCCCACAACGATCTGTCTCAGCCACGTGTTAAAGCCCCTATTCAATTATGAATGTGCCCTATATAATGTATATTATCAATCTCTTTTACACAACCCCATCGTACTGTCTATAGCAGAAAACAAACAAACAAATTAGGGATAAAACACATTAAGCTATTGGGCACATTGTTGTTGTCCTCTAATAATATGGCATTAATACTTCCTGGGGTGATTCAGAACTCTAGCTTCCATGAGGTTTATTTGCTGAGCGCTGTAATTATTTTGTTTTCATCTGAGACTAACTAAATTACAGATTGAGATATACAATGGAGCTGCACAATGAAATCGGTGAATATATAGGTGTGGGTTAGTTAGATAGAACATTTGATTTGTTAATTTCCATGAACTATATCTAAACTAAATATAAATTATACATAAACTAATTTGTGTCAAATGTACTAACAGTGACAGGCAAGAGTCAGTGATCAAATACATATAGAGGGACTGCATATGGGAAATATGGAGGAAAACTACAAAGAAAATGAATATGGTCAGCTGCAAAATAACTGAATTGTCTTTTTTCAAAAAGAAAAAAAAAGGCCCACTTTATATTAAGTGGCCCTAATACCTGTGTACTTACATAGTAGCTAGATGTGTACATAGTATGTAACCACAGTGTAATACACATTGGTACGTCGTATCTAGAGCTGTAATGTTTGTGTAACTACACATTTGTAACAACCCACTGAATGGTATGTGTAAATACAAATGTGTAACATGACATTGGTAACAACACTTTTTGGTAATGAAAGTACAAATGTGTAACAGGACTAACAGCACTTTTTGATAAAGAAAGTGTTACACTTTATATTAAGTAAACAATTCCTATGGATTTACCATGTAATCACTCTGATGTAACACAGCAGCGGCCAGTAAGTTAGGCTTTACATATAAATTGTGGTTGGTGTCCAGAATGTTACACTTTCTATTAAGTGGACAGTTCCTGAGGAGTTACCATGTAAGTACACTGGTATTAAACCTACCCATCTCCACCCCCTGGATCAAATTATTCCAATTACTCTTATACATAGAGTTGTTACAAAATGTAGTTATATATGTCCTGTTACACATTTGTACTTACACAACACATTCAGAGCGTTGTTACGTGTGTAGTTACAGAAATATTACAGCTCTAGATACTATGTACCAATGTGTATTACACTGTGGTTACATACTACATTCACATCTAGTTACTATGCAAGTACACAGGTATTAGGGCCACTTAATATAAAGTGGGACCTCAGTAACAATTAAAAAAAAAACTAAAAAAACCTTTGCTCAGACTCTGAATCATGTCAAAACGTCCTGTTTTTCCATTAGCAGTTAGCTAGAGTGAGCTATTCACAAATCCTTATTAAAGTAATGTATCATTAGACACCATGCTTAATGACAGGGCCTTTTGTGTGGTTCCACTAACCAGAGTCATTGAGTTAACTCGCAATTACCGATTTTAGGCCGGTTAGCATCAAAAGATCAATTTTACAATAATTGCAGTGTACAATTCAGGAAAAAGTGAGCACAGCAGGTTAGGTGAGGTTCAGAAACAAAGACAACACGTCGTAATTTGAGCCGACTTTAGTTTCTAAGAATACATTTAAACCTTTATAAATATATAGCACAAACTAAAAACCTCTAGTCTCTCAAGCATACATTTTACTCATTAGGTCATTGCCTTTACTGGATCACAATTTGCCTTTCTGATCAAATTAAGCTCAAGTGCAAAGCCACATCCTGGTGAATTTCGCCATGGGTGTCTCTCCACACGTATCTGTGACCCTCACCTTCACACACAGGCTGGGTTCCGCTCCAGGACCCGTTCTGCAGACAGGTGCGCTCGGAAGATCCGATCAGCGTGTAGCCCGCTTCGCACGTGAACCTTAGGAGGCTTTTATGTCTGAACTCCTCCCCAAGACGAGAACCGTGAGGAGGAATTCCTGGATCGCCACAGAATCCCGGATTATCACCTGAAATGCACAAAGGCATGACGCTCATTGACCACTCACTTCCTCAGTGACCTCGGTTCCAGAAATGTTTTGAACAATTATTAAATAAAGAGTTATGAATCAAGCCAACCAGAGAGAGAGAAAAAAATACCCTTACATTCACATTTGATTCAAAGCAACAACTAATTTCAAAATCATACAAAACTGACAAGTTAATTTACTTATTGGAAAAAATTATTGAACTATGCATGCCATGAATGAAAATTAAAAAAAAAAATATAAATAAAAAATAAATAAAAAATAAAAAAAGAGTAACACTTTAGTATAGAGACACAGTCTCACTCTTAACTAGTTACTTATTAGCATGCCTATTATTAACATATTGACCTTTTATTAGTAATTATAAAGCATTTATTCTGCATGAATATATTCTACATCCCGAATCCTACCCAATATCTAAACGTAACAACTACCTAACTATTAATGAGTAGTAAATTAGGAGTTTATTAAGGCAAAAGTCGTAGTCAATGGGTTGGTAAGAGCAAAAATTGGACCTTAAAATAAAGTAAATATATATATATAAGACTATTGACTTATTTTAGAGAAATGTTACATTAGAAATGTTTTTTTGGTTATATCTCAAAATCTTGAGATATATACAAATATATGTAACACTGTACAACAAGGTCTCATTTGTTAACATTTTTAACTAGTAAATATAAACTAACATTACCTCTACAGCATGTTAATCCAAGTTTAAGTTCATTTATATATATATATATATATATATATATATATATATATGTGTGTGTGTGTGTGTGTGTGTGTGTGTGTGTGTGTGTGTGACCTGTGCTGACAAAATGAGTCAGAATGAGCACATTTTCAAAAATGAGTTCTCTTCTTTTTCACATCCTACATTAAAATACCTTCAAAATGATATACAACTTGAGTCAGCAGAGTTGATTTTGAGAAAAATCGAGTTAATGTTTTCTGAAGATTCCAAAGCAATATCACCAAGCAACGTTGCATATTTTCCTCCAATTATTGTCTTAATAATAATTACTATATTATCAATCACAATATAGCTGTTTTTTATTTTATCTCTGTTATTAAAAATAAGATACAATGATGCAAATAAAATATTGTTTAATCAAGAGCAGCGAAAGATTCCATCTTTGGTTTTAATGTTTGATTAACATCGAGACAGATCAATATTTTGACCTACTGTAATGCATGGATCTAATATAATGTTACACATCAGATTTTTCCCTAACCATTAACTAAACGTTCATGTAAGACAACAGATTATGTGAATCTCGCCAAGACATATTTAGCAATAATGTACTTTATAGGGAGATTGCGCGCTCTCTGAGAGGCAAACGTTTTGTTTTAATCAGGTTTGAAAATCATATTTTACTGGTTCAGACTCATGTCATACAGAATTCGCTATGGATATTTATAAGGCTCGAATGCTGCACTTTTCAACGATATATCCTACAACTTGTGGTGAGAAGCAGCAGCAGTCGTCCAGAAGTGAGCGGAAAAAAGGGTACTCCTCTCAGAAAACGTACAAATAAAGATAATTTTAGATGTTTAATTACTATTTGAAGCATTGGGATCACTAGAAGAGGGCTTAATAAACTCTTTTTCGTGAAAACCTCAAATTCAATTTTTAATTTTTTTTTTTGCCAGCACGGGTTATATATATATACACATATATATAATGTACGTATGTGTATATATATATATATATATACTGTATATGTATGTATGTATGTGTATATATGTGTGTATTGCTCATTGTTAGCTCATGTTAGCTAATAAATTAACTTGTTAACAAATGGGATCTTATTGGAAAGTGTTACCCAAATATATAAGTTATCAAAAGGTTTTGGACACTAATCCCTTTTAACGATTACCGGTTTGACGATAAATCGTGATGAAATACCCCACGGTTAGTATTACCGTTTCATATTTTAATTATCACTATAACCGTATTCGATTACCGCGATTTGAACAACTGAGGATAAATAAATACTGTACTGCACAGGGCTCCAGTGTGCGACCAAATGGGCACATTTTGCTATCATTTTTTCTGCCAGTGCGACTAAATGTTGTGTGCGGTCGCACTGGCGCCACCACCACATTGTTTAACTCATAAGCGCTGCATTTCTGTTGCATGTGAGAATCATCAAACGGCAAACAAAACTGAAAGCATAATGAAACCGCGCGACTCGTTTGAGCTGCGCAGCGCTTCGAGTGTAGAGCCTGGTTTATACTCGCGGCGTCAGGAGCGCGAAGCTGCGTGCAGCAAAAATGACGCAAATATTGAGGAAACGATGGATGGGTTTCATGCTAAAGTAAAGTAAAAGACCGCATCTTAAACCAAAGGTGAACATGTTGGTATTCTTGTGGGACAAAAACATGCAAGCACTGTTTAGTTTTACTTTTCTTTTTGTTTTCATTTTGAAAAGCTTGTTATCTTTGCTGTTTACCTCACGTTATGCTATGGAAGCTCTCTTTTTATTTATTTGATTCCTCAGTGTTTGCTAAACGTTCTGTAATTTATTAGTCGGTATATAATACAGCATGCGGTGTATGCCATGCCTCGTCTTATTCGTTTTTGTTAATAAACATTTAATAAGCTAGTTTGTCATTGTATCTTACTGTTTTATTGTTGTTATGATTTTTAATTAAGAATAACAATGAATCCATTTTTTGTTTTAGTCTTAAAAAGTGAAAGGTGTGTAGATCAAAAAATGGACCGAATTAGCATGCCCTGCTGTAAATTTTGACTGGTTGATGAAAAAAAGCTTATATGGATTCTAAACATTTAAACAATAAGGTATCTAGTATTATTTACGGAGCAGATACATACATATAAACATTTATTAATCAATTGTCATTTTGACTTGACCCTTTTCTTTATTTAAAAGCTGAAATGTGAGGTTTACCATTTATGAAACTTTTTCAAAGCTTTATTTGAACATTTACATTAGATATTTGAA